ATTTATATATATATATATATATATATATTGTAATGTGTATGTGGACCACGTGTAGTAGTGAGTCATGCAGGATGGCTCAGGCATATCAAGGGATTGTTTTAGGGAGGAATACCAGTGCCGTGTGTCTAGTGATATTGGTTTTACAGATATGATGATGCTGTATAATGTTTACTAATAGAAGACGAGCCTAGGTTGTAAAATAGTGTAAAATATATAGATGGCAAGTGGCGGACTACAGAGGAGGCCGGGCACTCAAAAGAATATTGTGTCAGTAAACAGCGGGGACTGACGATGGGCAATATTAGTTAAGACTACATAATACAAGGTTATGGGTTGATCAGTCCGCGACACCGTAAAACTACGGTAGAAACATACCCCTACAGTCGTACAAGCACATACAAACATGCCCAGACGAATTCTCGTACATACCTCGGCCACTTCATTGACCGTGACTCCGCTGGGTATCTGCCCGTTCATAAACAGTGACATGTGCAGTATGGTGGGCCTCGGAGCGGCGGTTGCATTCGGCACGCTGCGAGAGTAGTTGCTGCTACGCTCGTCTCGCGTGGCACCTCCCACGTTACCCGATGCGCTCGCATACGCATTGGCATTGGCGTTTGTATTGGCATTCATGTTTATATTCGGGGTTGTGTTTGTGCTCATGTCCGGATTCGTGTTTGTGGGCGAGTCTGTGGCGGATGCGTTGGTGCGAGGAGAGGGCGTTCTCGTCAGTATCTTTGTATATATTTTCTGTATAGTACACAAACAACACCAAACTTCACACCAAGTATCTGAATTCACAGCACACACACATAGACTTACATACACTCAAACAAACACACCCGAGAAAAAAAACCTCTAATACAACCAAACTTATCCGCAAGCCAACAGACAAATACACCCGAAAGAATAACCTCTAATACATTCAAGCCTATACACCCAAGCCAATAAGAAACACGCCTGAAAGAATAACCTCTAATAAAACCAAGCAAATACACTGAGGCCAACAAACAAACACACCCAGAAGAATAATCTCTAATACAATCAAGTCTACACACTCGAACCAACAAACAAACACCCCCGTAAAAAACACAGCCCCGACTAGAGCCCAGTCTCACCTATATCATCAGTCCTGGCAGCGGTAGGATCGAGCTTTCCACCTCTAGTCGGACTCGTAGCACTGTACGCACTCGCCCCCGTCCCACCCCCTACACGGGCACCGTGGGGGGTCTGCTGTGCGACTGTCTCCGCCACAGCACTCAGTACAGGTATCTGCATGCTGCTTCTGCGAGGCGTGTCTCTGCTTGCTTGCGGTACATTACTGCGCCCATGCGTGCTGCTGGCCCTGCGAACGCCGATACCTTTGTTTGCAAAGGCTCCACTGCCGGGTGTGTAGGCGCTACTACTATTGAGAATGTCATTCCCGTTGTTGCTGGTGCTGCCGGTATGGGTGCTGTTGGCATTTGAGTAGCCTGAGTTGCTTCTGTTGTAGCTACGACCAAACTCTGGGTGGTCGCCACTGCTTCGGTAGTCCGGGATATAATCGCGCGCATTCCGATCGCTGCCTCGATCATTGCCATTGCCCGAGTAGCCAACTGCAGCGCCACCATCACCATCTCCCATTGCCGAGGACTTGACATCCCCAAACACCATCCCACCCAGTTGGTAATCGAGATTCGCCACATTATGCGATCTTTCTGCCCTGGGCTCTGATAAAATCCCCATGCCAACGTCACCCGTACGCCCCCAGCTCCCCCGAGTATTTGGTACAGTGTGGTTGTCGCGGGTTGTGTACAAGCCACTGTCTGTGTGCTTGGTGCTGTAACTATCGGATCCTTGGCTGTGTGATGGTGCAGTGTTTGTGTTCCCACTGGTCGTATTTGTTATCCTACTGGTCGTATTTGCGGTCCTACCGGTCGTATTGGCACCGTTACCCACACCACTCGTACCAGAGCCCCCGCTAGTAAATAGATATTTAAGGCGAGAAAATTGCTCGCCACTCTTTCCGTCTTTGTCGCGGGGCTTATCGTCCTCTTGGGACTTGCTCTGCAAATAGAATACGAAACAATGGATCAGTCAGTCAACATGTATTGAGGCAATACTATATAGTAGTATAAATGAATAGTATATACTAGTATAGACGAATATTATATACTAGTATAAATGAATACTATAAATTAGTATCAATGTGAAATTTAAGCTTTGACGAGGATACGAGAAATCAAAACTCCAAGGAGAGTATGACAGCTAAGTTATGAAGTATTTCATATCATGGATGTTGTACCTTAGAATATTCGTATGAGAACGATAGAATATGACAGGTACACTATAGCTGCGAGCCTATGGTTTAAAAGTTCAAGATGCTGAGAACATTTGATACACCAATAAGCTAATATATTTCTATAAACGTATATACGTATATAGATGTAATCGTGTATATATACATCCAACCACATGTATCCACATATAATTAT